TCGAGGACGGTGCTTCCGGCTGCTGAAGTGTCAGATTCATTCGGCTGTGGCAAGGGGGAATGATGAGATCGCAGGGCATACTCGGGGGAGTTGTAGGGCATCCTAAAGGCATTCACCTTGGGTCACCATTTTATTATCAGGAATATGTTAAAGTGATACCAGAGTTGTGAGATGTTTTAAATATTTCGAGATAAAATAATTAGAAAAGTAACAAATACACTCCAGCGAGTGGCATGTTTTGTGTGATAATTTCACCCCTTCCTATTTCACTATTATGTGTAGAAATTTCACCGAAATAAAAATTAGCAAAAAAATATATTTGGCATGAAAGTTCGACTTGTGTTTTATATTATCATTATCTGTTATTACATCTTTACATTACATTATACTATGATCTGTTACTAGATTGTCACATTTTATTATTTACATGTTACAATAAAAAATTGTCTGCACAGCTTAAGGATACTCATTCATAACTGAATTTCAGCTGCTTGTACTGGGCTGATATGATACTGCCCCACTTGTTTATTTCCACCATAAGATCTTACTGTTTGTATGACTCATGCTGTTATGTTATTGTTAATATTCGATCTCCCTGTGTGAAATGAGATGTTAGTTCTTTTCCCTAATTCAGGAGCCAATCATCGGTCATGACGAACAATAACGTCTTCAGATAAATTTCAAACGAATTCGTACTCTACCAAACACGGCTATAGACTGTACTTGTATTTTCCTCATTATGTGCCTGGTACCCTTAGTAAGAATCACTGTTCTAAAGTTACAAATTGACTCTCCTAATTTTATAAGGGTTATTTGCGGATTGTAATCTGTGTAGGTTGGTGAAATCTATTTTAAATAGATTAATAAACAGATAAGAATGAAGAATCAAATATTGCGGTCCGATATTACAATGATATCTAAGTTTACTAACCTAGAAGAAATTGAACAATCCAACAAATCTGTAAAAATGTATGAATGAAAGCGAGCATCATCTTTCGGGCTAATACAGTGGTACGTGTTACCATCTTCTTTAAGTCGAGTGGTCT